ACACACACACACACACACACACACACACACACACACAGTTGGAGACCTTTAAGAGACGCATAGGGGACGAAGGACAGTACAGAAGCAGAAAAAAGGGAAGGCCGGGGGTTGAGGTCCCCACGCGGAATTCTGAATCTTTTCCCCACATGCCCACCAGCCCCGAAGTCCTGGCCTCGCCAGGCCCAGCCCCGCTGTCTCGCGTCCTCCAGCCTCAAAGCTGGGACAGTGGCTCCAGAGTGTCACCCATGCCAGCTGTGGTATCACCCACAACAGGTGCCAGGTGTCCCTCGCAGGGAGACAAACACAGTCTCCCTGGCATACCCCCAGCCCCACAATCCACCAGCCTCAAAGCCGCAGTCCCCAAGCGTAGCCTAGGTCTGGGGGCGTCGGACCCCGCAGCAGACTATGCACCCACACAGGGGCTGACTCACAGGGCCAACTGGGGCAAAGAAGAGGAGGCTGGGGATGCTGGGACCCAGCCAGGTTCCATCCAGCTGGAGTGCCCGGTCAGCCCCCTCCCTCCACACATCTACTGGGCATTAGGCCTGCTGCCAGGCCTCCGTCACCTCCTGTGCACCACAGGAGGACAGAAGAAATTCAGCCACATTTCAGGAAAAGCTATCCCTCACCTAACACACACACACCCACACCCACATTCCTCCCTAGGCTATGGCTGAGGCATGTAGATCTGGGGAACAGAGGACCCAGCACCTCCCACCAAAACTAAGGGAAGAATGGCTTCCACAGACACAGAGTTCCACGGCTTCCAAAGGCCTGACCCACCCACCGCCGTCATTATGGCCTGCGAGCCTCTCAGCACCCCTTGTGGGGGGGGTTATCACTGTGGCCACACTTCAGAGATGGGCCTGCCGAGGTCAGAGGAGTCCAGTGATGTGCTCAAAGCCACTGTGAGTGGTGCAGGCCAGATTTGACCCCAACATCTCTTAGGTTTGCCTCATCCCCTCCCATCACACTTTTCTCAACAACTGTCTCTTAATAAGAACAATGACAACAGCACGGGGCACTCCTCTCTGTTTACCTGCTGTCTCCTCAGCCTGGCACTGGGTCTGGGGTCCCTCCTCCCTCCCCCACCTCCGGGCGTCTGTCCCTCTCACTGCAGTCACCTCCCTCTGGCATGAGGTCCAGAGACACAAGAGCTGACCTTGGGAGGAACACTGTTTCACAGTTTAACACTCATACCTTTATTTTCATGAGGATTAGGAAAACTCCAAATAGAAGGTCCAGCCACTGATTTCATGGATATGATTCCTTGGGAAGGTAAGGAGATTATGTTTCCTTTTAAGTAAATGTATTTAGGTTCAAAGGGAGTTAATGAACGACATATTGAGTTCACAGCGTGCAGAGGGTCCCTGATCTGAAGGAAATTCCCAAAGATGGCCCCTGATTGAGTGAGGCTGGGAACTTTGGGGCCATTTTCATGAAGGCCCAGTCCCTGCCCTTGAGGGGCTGGTGGCAATCCAGGGTACCAGTGAATGTGGCTGAAAAGGAATGACCGGAATAATCACCCAGGAGAAGGAGAGGCCAGGATGGAGGTGCTCCAGCCATGACCCTTAGCTTCTCTCTCTCTTCCACTTACCCCCACCACCAGCGGGGATGTGCACTGGGTACCTCCATGGCCGTAGCCCTCTCTCTGCCCACCGGCCTTGCTGCTGGAGCCCCAGCTCTAGAGTCCGGCACAGCCCTGCCTGAGCCAGAGGGACCTCTCTCCTTGTGCCAGCCAGGCTCGCCGTGCCCTCCAAGGGCTCTGGACACACACGGGTGCGGGGGACGGGCCTCCAGTTCTCCTCTCCCCGCTCCTGCCCTTCTGCCCTCTGGGACCCAGAAGAGCTCCTAACCCCCATCCCCACCCCCCCATGCCAGCTCCTAGGGAGACATCCTAGCATGTTTGGGTGGAAGCCAACAGAGACCAGCAGGGACTATGGGGAGGTCCAGGGGTCACCCAGGCTCTGCCAGGTCGGCTAGAGGGGCACGGCGGGGCTGGCAAGGAGGGGTCCAGGCTGCTAGAGCGGGCAGCGGAGGGCGAGCAGACGCGGACAGTGGACATGTGCTTGCAGCCCTATTTATGACTGCAGTCCTATAAATCTCACCGCGGGCAGTGCACTGGGGAGGGGGTTGCGGAGCAGCCCTGATGGAGAGTGTAAAGCCAGGTCTGTCCCTGCCTCCTTGAGGTCAGGGTTCACCCGTCCGTCCGCTGCCCGGGCATTGGTGGAGGGAGGAGTCAGGGCAGAGGCAGGAGCAGGATCCTGGGGGCTGGCAGAGGGGGGCGGAACAGGAGAGACAATCTGCTATCTCTGAGGGGTAGTGGGGAGGAGGGGCTTTGATTTGAGATCCTTGGCTTTATTTAACAAAGACAGAAACTAGCTTGGGGAAAGGAGTGAGGCTCAATGCACATTCCCTCCTTCCTGCAGGGCCCCAGGGGGCCGGGAGGACTGACTTGGGCTTCTCAGTTGCAGGGCCATCCTGTTGCCCTTAGGAGAAGGTGGCCCGTGGGGCTCAGAGGACTCAGGCCTGAACTTCTCCCTTGGAGTCAGGCCAGGCACTTGAGGTCAGGGCACTGGAAGGAAAAGAACCCCAGGTCAGAGTCACACACCCTGGGTTATGAGTCAGCTCCTTCCCTGAGGAGCCCCGGTCAGCCTTTCTGGTTACTCATTCAGTCCACCAGACTCTTCCCTCTCGGAGCCTGAGGGCACTGATCTGTAAAACGGGATGTTAACCTCTAAACCCTGCCCCTGTCTTGCCTGCCCTGAGCGAGAAGCTGGCAAGACAACGGAAGCGAAACTGTGTCGTTCTGAATTAAAGGTGTTCCTGGCACATTGGCTGTTGGCCCCTAGCAGGACAGCCTTCCCGTTCCCCCTGCGCCTGCTCCAGCCACCAGTGAGTCCCCAGAGTGGCCGTGACCCTCCCCAGACTGAGCAGCCCAGTGAAAAGCCCTGGAGA